TCACTCCGTCATGCGGCACACTCGGGTCTCGAACTGCTGAACTACCGACCTTCCACAGCCTGCAGTTCAGCATCTTAACCAGTTGAGCCACCACAGCTACTGACAGATCTGTCCTCTATGCTTGTTCTTAGCCTCCTTTCGTGTAAGTGATTAACCCCCTCATCCTTTCAGAAGACCACAGGAATCAGCCCTTACAGTTTTGGTACGGTAGAAAAGAGCAAGAGTCCAGTAGCACCTTAAAGACTAACAAAATTTCTGGCAAGGTATGAGCTTTTGCGAGTCACTACTCACTTCTTCAGAGGTTTGGGCACTCACATTGTGCATAAGGGGCATTCACCCTGCCTCACTTCTGCAGTCCTCCCAATGCGTGCAGGCGTCATTTTGTTCGACTGGGGCAACAAGCGGATTTTCCAGCTTCGATATGTGCGACTGGAAACCCAGATTTCTTGTGAGTATTCATGCCCACCGAAGCTGGAAAATATGCATGTTGCGTCTCACCAGACAGTGACGCCATATATTAGGAGGATCCCAGGTACCACTATTTCCCCTCAGATGTGGCTCGAGTGCCAAAACTGTAACAACTGAAATCAATCACATTTTTATCCTGCCCTTCCTTTAAAGATCTGAGGCAGAAGATATGCCATTTCCTTTTTACTTCAGAAGGGAAGCTGTGTTACTTCAGAAGGGAAGCCAGAGTTACTGGTCCAAGATCATCCAGAGAGCTTAGTTTATGACTGGAGGGTCAAACCCAGGTCTCTTTGGTCCTAGATGCTTAACCACCACACCACTTCACCCTAGCTTAATACAACACGGTTCAAACAGGAGTTCAAAGTGGTGCAGAGTTAGAATAGGATGTGGAATGGCATCATAGCCCGATCTGGTCAGATCTGGGAAACTAAGCAGGGTTAGTACTCGGATGGGGGATCACCAAAGAAGGCCCTGCAGAGGAAGGCAATGGCAAACCTCTCACCTGCCTTAAAAGCCCCTTGTTAGTGTCGCCATAAGTTGGTTGTAACTTGGCAGCACATTCACAGAGTTAGGATACTGAATTAGCAGCTTCCCCCCATCCTAACCTATGTCACAGGGAGAGTTACGAAGAGAAAATGGAAGAGGGGAAAATGATGTACGGCTCCCAGCACTCCTGGGAGGAAGAATGGGCTAAAAGGTAATCAGTAATTGAAGACTGTCTCACATCTTAGCTCAGCAACCTTCAACAGCCATGTAAATAAAGCTGACTAATAATATCACCGTACTGCAGATGGGGGTGGGGGGACTGAATCTGAGACAGTTTGCCCAAAGTTATCTATTAAGTTTGTGGCTGAAGTAAGGTTTGACAACAATTGATTGGCACAGTAATGAGATAATACGGAGAACAAGAAACAGCTGTTATGATTATTGAAAATCTTCTTTGATAATTGTGAGACGTCACCAGAGGATATGAACTATTGAGAGATAGTTTTTGTCCCACATCTTTGTTCAGAAGAAGATCTTCCTTCGAAACGGCAAGACATTCCGGAGATCACCGTCAATATATTTTTCTATGATTATGTATATTATTTTTGTTCACTTTTCTATGATTCTTTAAAGACATATATTAAGCGTCACTTTTTCACAGCTTTTCTTGTTCTCCGTATGAAGTAAGGTTTGAACCAGGGGCTCTCAGGCAGAGGTTCGCTATACCTGGTTACAATATAACACAGTACAGAACACCAGAGCTACCCCCAGCAATCTGCTTCTCACCTGTTTATTTTGCTTGGAGATCCCCAACACATAAAAGGCTGCTGTGCAGGCTGCAGGGGCAATTTCTAAGTCCGCGTAATGGATCCACTGCTGTACCAAAGCACTTGCCTTTGGGCCTTGCCCTCTCAGGTTATCTGGGGACAGCAGATAAGAAACGGCTGCTGGGCCAGACACGCAGACCCCCGCCTGGGTTTCCAGAGCTGGGAGTTTTGGCAGAGAGAAGGAAGGGTTCCCCGGCTCTCTGTCAGGAGGCAATTCGACCACCTTGGGCTCCTGTCGGCCATAACGAGCTGCAACGAGTACACGGAGATTCTGGAAGTTATCCGGATGCGGGGAAAGATAGAGAGTGGGCATGGTGAGGAGGCAGCGTGACCTGAAAAGGAACGAATGAAAGAACTGCTCTGTGAACGTCCTGAACCGTGCTGTTTGTGAGGGCTTGAAGAAACACCACTATATTAATACAGTTCTCACGTATCAACACCTCTCCATGTGGCAACAGCTGCCACATGGATTGAGTCTGAGTAGCCTTCGCTGGCTCTAAACCTCTGTGCCTTTAGGAGACACCCCCTGGAATACTGAAGCACACACCCCCTGAAAGGGGAGGGTCATCCCAGCTGGTAGCTCCCACATGTATATTGTTGCCGAAATTGTTGTACAATTATAAAAGCCTGGGAAAGGGCCAGGTTGAAGGGGGTCACATGCAACGACCCAATGAGGACAGTTTCAGCTCAGCAGTGACCCCACTGCCCAAAGCACTACCAGGGAGGGGGAGGTAAAGGTAAAGGTTCCCTTGCTCGAAAGCCAGTCGAATCCGACTCTAGGGTTGCGGTGCTCATCTCCATTTCAAAGCCGAAGAGCCAGCGCTGTCCGAATATGTTTCCGTGGTCATGTGGCGGGGATGACTAAACACCAAGGCGCACAGAACCCTGTTACCTTCCCACCGAAGTGGTACCTATTTATCTACTTGCAATGTCTTGCTTTCGAACTGCTAGGTTGGCAGGAGCTGGAACTAGAGACGGGAGCTCACTCCGTCATGCGGCACACTCGGGTCTCGAGCTGCTGAACTACCGACCTTCCACAGCCTGCAGTTCAGCGTCTTAACCACTTGAGCCACCGCAGCTCCTAGGGAGGGGGAAGGGATTGACTATTGTGAGCTGGACAGAGACAATGTTCCAGATGCAGATGAGTTCCAGGGGGGTAGCCCAGTTAGCCTATTTGCAATAAACAGCCCCCCCCAAAAAAAAGGTGTCCTGTTGCACCTCAAAGAGTAGGATATAAAAAATAAGGCCAAGGCCGATGGTGCAAATCAGGTAAAAATATATTTTATTACTCGGCTAAATTTCCAAGAATTCCCTACATGTTTGTTGTACTCTTTTTGAAGAACTACTACAAGACGAACAGATTCCCTCGACAAAGCCTATTGGCGAAACGTGGAGAGAATTTTGGGGGGATTTTAACTGAGTAATAAAATATATTTTTACCTGATCTGCACCATCGGCCTTGGCATTTTTTTAAAACCTCCTGTTACTGATTAAGGGGCCATCTACTCCAGATACCTGGTTTTTCTCAGTATTCACACATTCATTCATTCAGACAGACAGACAGCCCTTCCCTGCAGGCAGGGCTCAGGGAGGTTTACAACAGGATAAAAACAATAGAACATTTAGAGTAAGTTTTAAAACCATAATAAAATACCATAAAAACCAATAGATAAAAGACAGTCTGTTCCAAGATGGCAAAAATTTCAGGGGGGGAAATGCAGCTTCCCCGTAGCCTCCTAAGGGGATAGGGGAAGAAGAAGAAGAGATTGGATTTATACCCCGCCCTTCACTACCCAAAGGTGTCTCAGAGCGGCTTACAAACTCCTTTCCCTTCCCCTCCCCACAACAGACACCACAACAGGTAGGTGGGGCTGAGAGAGCTCTGACAGAAACTGCTCTTTTTCGAGAACAGCTCTTATCAGAGCTACGGTTTGCCCAAGGTCATCCAGCCAGATACAAGTGGAGGAGTGGGGAATCAAACCCGGTTCTCCCAGATTAGAGTCCACGCACTTAACCACAACACCAAACTGGGGAGATGCGGGGAGGTGAGAGAGTGCCAGTTCAGTCGCTGTACTCAACCAAAAGCCTGGGCGAACATCTCTGCCTTTCAAGCCCTGCTGAAAGGTAATAGATCCCACAGGGCACGGATGTTCTCTGGCAGAGAGTTCCACCAGGTGGGGGCCAGCATTGAAAAAGCCCTGGCCCTGTTTGAGGACAGCCAGATCTCTCTCGGGCCAGGGACCACCAGGAGATTTTTACTGCCAGAGCATAATGCTCTTCCAGGGGCATACTGAGAGAGGTGGTCCTGAAGGTATGTATGTCCCTGACTGCTAAGGGCCTTACAGGTCAAGACCAGCACCTTGATCTAGTGCTCCACTGGTAGCCAGTGCAGTTAACGGGGCCCCGGTTGGATGTGCACTGTCCGAGGGGTCCCAGTGCCGCATTCTGGACCAGTTGGAGGTTTCCGGGTCAACCTCAGGACAGGCCCACATAGAACGAGTTACAGTAGTGCATCCTGGAGGTGATCGTTGCATGGATTACCGTGGCTAGGTCAGGGTGAGACAAGTAGGGAGCCAGTTGCCAAACCTGGCACTGTTGGAAAAACACCACCCTGGCAACCTTCACAACCTAGTCAGATTCTCCTAGGAAGCCCAGAAGCAAGGTAGGAAGAAACAGATTCCCCCACATCCATCAGCTGCCAGTATTCAAAGGATTTTGTTTTTTGGAACATAGAGGCTCCATTTCACTATCATGATTGATATCTGTCAGTAGACTTATCCTCAATGAATCTGTCTACCTCTTTTTTTTTTAAGATACTTAAACTTGTAGCTATCGACACATCCGCTAACAGCGATTTCCATAAATTTGTTACTCACAACCTGAATCGACTGCTCACCACTTTCATTGCAAGACCCTCAGTTTTAGCATCACAACAGACGGAGAAAAATTCTCTGTTCACTTTCCTCCACACCACGCACTGTTTTTACACCACTCAGGAGGAAGCCAGTGACTCATGAACTCTGTAATCCCTGCCTTTTAGGTCAGAGCAGGCTCCACGCAGCCCTAGAGTATGTAAAGGTGTCGTTTAAATGATAAAGAAGAAAAAAGGGGGAAAAACTAAACCTAAACCTAGAATTCAGAACCTCAAAAGGTTAGTCAGGAATAGAAAAGGGCCAACTCTAAAACTCTAATCATAAAATATACAAAAATATATATGTGTGTGTTTATTCAAGATAAATTAAAATAACAAACAAGAGCCCATTCATACCTCATATAAAACTATAAAAACATACAAGGGCTAATAAGATAGACCTAATAAGATAGACCTAACGCGTTTCGGCCTTTACAGGCCTTCCTCAGAGGTCTAATACATACAGAACATATTGGCTGATGTGCAAAAATACATACACTTCTACATATACAAAATATGGAATAAAGACCAGAAATCAATTGTTCCAAAGTTTAACCACTGGGCAAGGAAAAGAAATACAGAAATACAAATGAAGCCTCCAGTGAAATCACATGTCCAGTGGTACTTCTCTCTGGTCAACTGTATATTCATCTAAGGTTGTACAGCCAAATGTTCCAAATAAAATGTTCCTTAGGTTAAAAGCCTATTTTCTCCCCTCAGCCCACCACCATACAGACATACACATATATGATTGAATACAGGGGTCTTGTTGTAGAAAAAGAGCTGCCGGAGCTCATTAGCATAACTCATTAGCATAACTTATTTGCATATGCCACGCCCCCTGACATCACCGGAAGTGTGTCAGAAGGCCCGGCTACTTACCCTCCTGCTTCATCCTCATTCCCAAACGGAATGAGGATCGAAGCAGAGGGCGGGGTAAAGAAGGGGGCGGGGCTTCACCACGTGACCGCCCCGCCCCCTAGAGGTTCTCTTCCGGAGCTCCGTACCTGAGAGCTCCCCCCCGACTAGAGCCCTGATTGAATATGAAAGTGCTTCCTTGCCTCCCTGGAGCCTTTATGCCCTGCCGTACTGGGGAAAACATGTTTTATTTGAAAATGATGCAGGAGTCTCACCCTCCTGCCCCCTCGCCTGCCCTACAACTTCAGACCCCCGCTCCCTATTCTAGCAAAGCCAGAACTCCTCCCCCTTTCATCAGATGTTCCCTTCTCTAAAGTATTATTACTGCTGCGCCCCACCCAGAAAACCCAGGAGGCCTGGCTCTTAGATCTAGATATCCCAGCTCCCCCCCAGGCACCAGAATGGGAGAAGGTTCTAAAAATAGAAGATGAGAAGGAGATTATTCAAAGCACACCGATACTACCAGATTTTAAATGCCATGCACTGACACTTGCATACAGGGGTGCTTTAAAGATCTCCTCTGTAAAATCTTCTGACAGTTTGAAGAAGAAAGGTGAACACACCCCTTCCCCCCTCCTTAATCATCACTCCCATGTCGGGGGTGTATGTGGCTAACAGCACCCAGAAATCATCCCTTTAACCCAGACATGAAATCTCAGCCGGCTGTCACCTAGGGATGCCAAGCCTCCAGGTGGGAGCTGGGGATCCCCCAGAATTGCAGCTCATCTCCAGACTAGAGGTCACTTCCCCTGAAGAAAACGGATGCTCTGGAAGACGGACTCTATCAGCATTGTACTCTACTGAGGTCCCTCCCCGTCCTCAAACCCTACCCTCTCCAGGCTCCTTCCCACATCTCCAGGACTTTCCCAACCTGGAGCTAACAACCCTATGCCACCCACTCCATCCCACCGGTGGCCAGGAGGGTCCCGGCAACCCTACAGCGTCACCCCAAATCAGCCTGCAGTTTACCAAGGGGGGGAAGTGAAGAACCAATCGTTTAAAGTTGGAGGCTGCTGTTTTATTGAACAGTCACAAAGAAGAAGAAATCGAGTGGATTCAAGTCTGGGGGGCTGCTGGTGGGTGGAAATCGGGGGGAGGGGCTTCATGGAAGATACAAGCTGGATAGTGTCGAGTTAAGAGGCAATGGTGGGGACTGGGGATCTAGGATGCTGGTTCCTGGGGAAAGAATAGGGAGCTTCGCCAGTGGAACCCGGAAAACGACTAGAAGCTGGGGAGTGACTGGAACACGAAATCAAGAATCCTGGGTTCCCTGGAAGGAAATGGAGACCCTGTGGACTTGGGGACAGGAGATCAGGAGCCAGGACTCCTAGGTCCTCTGGAAGAAAAAGGGGATAACCAGATTGGAAGAAAAACCGAGAAACGGGGGATTGCCCGGAAAGCAGAGAAGATTTCATGGGTGTGGGGACTGGGCTAGAGCCTAGGAGCCAGGAGTCCCGGTTTGGGGGGGAGAGGGGGCGGGTCCCCCCTTACCTGCACCGCCAGCCGGTAGCAGCTCTTCCCACACGTGCTACTTTCCCTTTGCAGAAGGACCCCGCCTGTAGGCGTCTACTGCATCGCCTGCATCACCGTCTGCAGTCGGCAAAGCCTGAACGCCGCTGAGCCATCCGGCTGTGGTTTATGCGCATTTCCTGAAAGAAAGGCAGTTCTGCGCATAGGAGAATCAAGAGTCCTGACCCCTCCCCTTTTTAACTCCGCTCCACTGCTTCCTCTCCTTTATGATTTTATGGACAGTAATAACGAGGAATAAAAGTTTCTAGGCACATCTGCTGAACGCTTCCCCCCCCCCATTACCCTGCAACTTGCAGATAGATTTAGGTGGGTAGCCCTGTTGGTCTGAAGCAACAGAACAAAGTTTGAGCCCAGTGGCACCTTTAAGACCAACAAAGTGTACTTCTCTGGGTATAAGCTTTCGTGTGCATGCACACTCCTTCAGATCTCTTGCAGTTTGCTCGCTCTGAGTTTGAGCCCCAGTGTCAGGGGCTTCAGCGGCAAAAGGGAATCTGACCCCTTTGCTCTCAGATCCTAGTCTGACGCTCCTAGTGCGCTGCACTCAACTCAGCTGCTGTTTTATGTGCTCATCATCTTTCATGTGCTGAAAACGATCGTGCGAAGGGAGCCCGTAGTACCTCATTAGCACCGCCTCTGCGTTGCGATCCATCCAGTGGCTACAGAATTTGGACAGCTCTAAAAACTGGAGGAGCTCAGCAGGACGGACGAACCAGCTACAGGCATCCTGAGGAGGAAGGAAGGAAGATAAAAGGTGATCGAGTACCAAGCTTTATTTCTATCTCTAGACCACACTCTCTGTCAATGTATATATCTAATTCTTCTTAAAAGATAAGTTAGTGGCCATCGCTACATCCTATATTGCACATCTTCAAAAAAAAGTGTGTTGCTAAAAAAGAGATAGCTTTTAGGGGGGAAATAGTCTCGTCTGTGACAAGACATTTAATTGCGGGGAAATTGCGGAGTAAGAAACCTGTTTTTTTTAAGGATTCACCCCCAAATATAAAAGGGGGAAATGTATTTGGTGACTATCTTATAATCTCTTTGTAGTATGATAAAGTAATAGGACATTTTTAGAAAGGCAATCCCTATGCCAACCCTGAACTGACTGCGGTGGGACCTCACCCATTCATAGAGGCAGAAGGAAAGTAGAGCGACAGGCCTCCTAGACTTTCTTCTGCGGCATTGGCCTGTCCTCGCTACGGCCGCTCTATCACTTGAACATCTCTTTGGTCGAGCTACCCTTGGCACTTTGCGGCTACGGTGGGGAACGAGTTCGAGTTTGGACCGGAAGTGCCGATAGAGGCGCTTGCCTGTCACTCTAGCATTTTTTCGATCTATGGACATAGCGTTCTTAGGCTATTATAGAGCGCGCAGGAAAAACTGATTGGAGAAGTGGCGGTGGCCAGAAAAAGAGGCTTACGAAGAGGGGATGACGAGTGCCCCCTAGCGATGGCAAGGACTCCTTGCACGTCAGATGTCTTGCTCCTCCTCAACGGGAGCGAAGAAAGTGGAGCGGATCCCTGCCCAACTGAGCAACGTGTGTTCTCTCTCCTTGTACCCACTTTGTATTCTCTCTATTGCCGCTCCAGCCAGGCCACAGTGTTTGCATTTCCGAAACGCTGGGTGGAAGACCTTCGCAGTGTGAGGGAGGGATTCTGGTGAGTAGACAGGGCAGGGAAAGGCATCGAGGCAGATGGGGAATAGATCACGGAGCAGGGATGGCAGGAGACCCAGAAATCAGCAGGAAGGGGATCGGGAAAGCCAAGTTGCAGAGGATGGCGCAGGGCATCTGCCGCTCTTAAATGCGGGGCTTTGGATGATAAAGCACACCTTAACGTTGCGCAACTGCACTGCCCTAGTCCTCCCGTATAACTCTTAGGTTGATTCTACATTGGCTTTTCCCTCTGTTGTTTTGCGGAACCCACACTGGAACAGAAATTCCCCTCTGCATTGCATGCGGCTGTCACTTCCTTTGGTCATCGGATTTTATGGCAGCCTCTACACTCCATGGGGCTGCGGTGGCTCAAGTGGTTAAGACGCTGAACTGCAGGCTGTGGAAGGTCGGTAGTTCAGCAGTTCGAGACCCGAGTGTGCCGCATGACGGAGTGAGCTCCCGTCTCTAGTTCCAGCTCCTGCCAACCTAGCAGTTCGAAAGCAAGAAATTGCAAGTAGATATAGGTACCACTTCGGTGGGAAGGTAACAGCGTTCCGTGCGCCTTGGTGTTTAGTCATGCCGGCCACATGACCACGGAAGCGTCTTCGGACAGCGCTGGTTCTTCGGCTTTGAAACGGAGATGAGCACCGCAACCTTAGAGTCGGATTCGACTGGCTTTACCTACACTCCATGCTGCTTTCGATTTCTTTGATCATTGGATTTTTATGGTACCTTCTGCATAGATTTATGGCCGTTTTATGGCCATTCAGGGGTGACTTTGCAGTCAGTACGATGTGGCCCCGAGGTATCTGAATGTGGTTTTGAGCTGCAGTTTTTCCTCCCGGTTGAGAAAATGCAGAGTGAATGCTAGATGCAGAATTGCCCTTACAGAAACTGTGTTCTTCTGTGCCTCTGGTCCTATTCTTTCCCTTTGCTTCTGATTACCATCACTGCTACATCATCTTTCAGAACTTGCCAAATTTTACAGAAAGGATACTAACACTTCACACACACACACAAGCAGGGTCCAGATGGTCAGCCGTGTTGGTCTGAAGCAGTAGAACAAATGTAGGGTCCGAGTGGCACCTTTAAGACCAACAAAGCTTTATTCAAGGTATGAGCTTTCCTGTGCATGCACGCTTCTTCAGATACAGCGAAACAAAACTTCTTCAACCATTTTATAGCCAGAGAATGAACAGCAAATCAACATGTAACATTCTGATGTTCAAGATATGCAAAGTGACACTAAATAACAAGTTAAGGTTATAAGGTCAACAGTTGTAAAGCAATAAATAAGTCAAACGAGCAGATGAATGTCTAAAGGTGCCTTTTCTAATTGTGGGAAGTGACTGGGAATCTTCATTTTTCTCCTCTCAGGCGCAGTGGGCACTTGACCCTACATCCCCTTCAAACAACCCAATATCCCTTGCATTACATTCAGTGTTATAATATACTATTCTGCACAAGAAATACACTAAAATACAGATAATTTATAGTCCTTTTTGCTGAGAATACATATGTGAGGAGGACTGAATGAGTTAGCATATGTCTGGGGTGGCCAAACTTGCTTAACGTAAGAGCCACATAGAATAAATGTCAGATGTTTGAGAGCCGCAAAACATGCACAAATATTACACATTTTTACTGGGAAATATGCTAATTTGCTTTTTATTAACATTGAATTAGACTGCCAAAAATAATAACAAAACCGGTAAAACCAGATATTGATAATGGTATTTATTTGTCCATTGATATTTGTTTGCTAATGATATTTAGCTTCCCCAGCCGCCCTGCCGGGAGCCGCACAATATGTGTGAAAGAGACGCATGTGGCTCCCGAGCCACAGTTTGGCCAACCCTGGCATATGTAATGCGATAAAAATCCTATATCCCTGTTGAGTCCAGGGGAGGTTTTTGTTCCAAGTGTTGTAATAACTTTGTAATTCAGCAGTTTCCCTTTCCATTCTGTTCCTGAAGTTCCTTTGTAATAAAACAGCTACTTTGAAGTCAACCATGGGCACAACGGTGCTTGCAGGTGGGTTGCCTGGTGCTCGTTTGCCTGTTTCCTGCCCTGTTGGTTGGCCCTCCAGGAGCAGCGGGTTGGCCATTGTATGAAACAGGATGCTGGACAAGATGGACTACAGGTTTGGTCCAGCAGGGCTCTTCTTGAGAAAGCAAAAGGCTTCAGAGAGGATGGGATTGGGTGGTGGTGGTGAAAATTCAAATCACAAGTCAGGGGACAGTCATGGTAGGTGCTGTTTTTGGAACGGGGCACTGGGAGGTTTTGGTGAAGGAGTGAAAACCAAAGCTGTGTCTTGTGGCTTCAATGCAGTTCTTAAGCCTCCATTATAGCTAATTTGGCAATGGTCTTTTTTTCAGGAAGAACCCCACCACCACCAGGAATATCCCATTACGCCTGTGAAATTCACACACATCTCCTTGTATCTGCAGTTCATGCAAAGCTGTCCTTCAGCCCCACTTCGCTTTTTCTCTGAGACAGCAAAATGGCTGCAGGTGAAGGGGACGTGTCCAGCAGCCTGCCTCACCTGGTCCAAGTGATGCTAAAGAAGAGGTTGAAAATAGAAGAGCTGGAACCCACTAGCTCTGAGCCAAGGAAGGGAGCAGAAAACAATGATTGTACTATCCCAGGGGACAGCAAAGGAGATCTTTGGGGAAGAACCATATCGGAAGATATTAAACAGGAACCTCAGAAGTGGTTGCAACAGTGCTGGGAAGCTCAGCTGGAGGAGTTCCTGAAGAGAGTGGAGTCCTCCCAGGTGGTGTGGAAACGCTTCAGAGGGGCAGCCAACCTCAGCCCTGAGGGGTTGTCTCCAATCCTGCCAGGCCTCAGCAGAGAAGCCCAAGAAACCAACAGTCAACTTCAACTGTCAGATGACATTGAGGCAAACGGCAGAGGAGTGAAAGAGGAGGAGCCGGATAATGAGACCGCCATCTTGGATGCCGAGCGGCAGGACTTCCGGCACTTCCGCTACCAGGACGCTGAGGGGCCTCAGGGGATTTGCCAGCAGCTGCGGCAGCTCTGCCTTCGATGGCTGAAGCCGGAAAGGCACACCAAGGAGCAGATCCTGGAACTGGTGGTTCTGGAGCAGTTCCTGATCATCCTGCCTCAAGAACTCCAGGAGTGGGTCAGGGAAGGGAGACCACAGACCTGTGCCCAGGCCGTGGCCCTGGCACAGGGTTTCCTACAGAAGCAACGTGAAGTTCAGGTGAGGGAGTTTGGTTGTGGTTGTTCCAAGGGCCAGCGTTTGTTCCTCTTTTGCACATCTCATCGCTTGAAGTTATTCACTGCTCAGCAGAATGTGTGAACGACTTTCATTGGAAAGGATTATGTCTGAGATGACCCTCAAAATCCTTGTAGTGCATCCAGTCAGTGAGGAAATAAGGAGAGAATTGTAGAGACTAAAGGAAACCTTGCCCAGTAGCCAAGGCACGGTATCTGTCAGATGCATGGCCATCCATGGAGTACCATCATAGTTATGAGCATGAGCTGTGAGCCAGGAAGTTCTCAAACTGAAATCACAGCCTCTCTGTGGATTCATTGGGCAGCCATGGAGCTTCAACCAGCCCCCAGGTGCCATCTGTAATATGCGGGGTAGGCAGGCCCTCTCAAGGAAACGCAGCAGGCAAGGGGCTGGGGAATGTGGAAGCCTCTAGGCTTAAATTCTCCCCATCTAGGATTCCATAAGCATTCACGGGCTTAAGCAGTGTTAATTTCCCTGCCCCTACTTTCTTCCTTATTCACTGTCATCTGCTGTCCGCAGTCCGTGCCTCCTGAAGCATGCTCAGTCCTCCATGGTGTGTTGTGTTGTTTTTTTTTGTGGGGGAGGCTTTTTCTTTTAGGAAATTTACACTTATTTTTTTCCCTGCATATCGTCAAGTATTTAGAAACCCCTGTATTTCCTCCGGGCAGCCTCATTGTGATTGGCATTGGTCACCCATGTTAAAATAACGTTGGGCTACCTTACAGGGTTGATGTAAAGATTATGGGGCCAATGTACGTAAAAGCATTTTGCATTCTGTAAACTAGTGTTTTAAGATCTACAGTACAGTGAGTTTCCAGCCTATTTATTTATTTATTTTTAACCAAGGGATTTTCACTCCCTCCAAGGAGCTCAGAATGGCTTATATCATTCTCCTCTCCTCCATTTTGCCCTGACAACAACCCTGCGAGGTAGGTTAGGCTGAGAAATAGTGACTGGCCCAAGGTCACCCGGCAAGTTGCCTTGGCAGAGTGGGAGGTTTGAACCTGGGTTCCCAGTCTGCCTCCCCAACTGCCTACACCATGCTGGCTTTCCCAAATCAGGATATTCTTTTGCTGAATTTTACAACTGGGTCATTTCCAGGCCCATCTGGTTTATCGCCTTGAATGGGATGAAAGGTGGGGGCGAGAGGCAGACTCTAGGCCTTATAGTGTTTGTTCCCACTTCTGGTCCTGTCTCTGGTGCTCTGAACAGGATCCTTGCTGTTGTTTCAGGTACGTGGCCCAGAGGCAGAAGTTGCCCCACTGGAGGCCAAGCAGACGCCCCTCTTCAAGGACCTCAAACAGGAGAGCGACACCGAGACTCAACACAGCAGCAGCTCTGATGCCAGCTGTCTGGGTAAGGAGGACTCTTTGTGCCTTGATGATGGCGTGTTCTTGAATTCCGAGGGTCAGCTTTGACTTCAGGGTCCTACAGTTGCTGACGCCCCAAGTATAGGGGCTGTTCCTCTGATCTCTGGTGCGTGTCTGATCTCTGGTGTCTCCTCCACACCCTGCAGGGCTCTTTTTGTAGCAGGAACTCCTTTGCATATTAGGTGACACACCCCTAATGTAGCCAATCCTCCAAGAGCTTGCAGAGCTCTTCTTACAGGGGCTACTGTAAGCTCTTGGAGGATTGGCTACATTAGGGGTATGTTGCCTAATATGCAAAGGAGTTCCTGCTACAAAAAGAGCCCTAATAGCAAAAGAAAGTAGTTGCCTAATACATTTACTAATGCAGCTCCCGATGGTGAGCAGATCAACAGGAGAGAGACTGGTGAACTATGAGACAGCATGTTGCCATATAGTGTGTGGAAAAAGGAGGATGAAAGTAAAGAGAGGACTTAGGCTGCTGTACACAGAAGTGAGGAGCCATCAGTGCAATCCTGTGCTGGTTATGCCACTCGAAGCCCACTGATTTTAGCTCTGCGTGCAATGAACACATGAAGCTGCCCTCTACTGAATCAGGCCTTTTGGTCCATCAAGGTCAATATTGTCTAGTCGAACCGGCGGCAGCTCTCCAGTGTCTCAGGCAGAGGTCCTTCACATCACCTGCCACTTGATCCCTTTAACTGGCGAAGCCAGGGATTGCACCGGGACCTTCCGCATACCAAACAGATGCTCTACCAGTGAGCCACGGCCCCTAATTGCATTGAAGGTACTTACAACTACCGAGATGGAAAGGTTCTTCCTGAGGGTAAAATGCATATATACATGGCTGCAGGGAAGTCCAAAGTGGTGGCGGTGGTGGTGTTTTTTGAAAAACACTGAACATTTGTCCTGACCTGGATATCCCAGGCAAGCCCGATCTCGTCTGATCTTGGAAGCTAAGCAGGATCGACTCTGGCAAGTACTTGGATGGGAGACCTCCTTGGAAACCAGCAGTCAGGAGGTGGGAGCAGGCTTTATTCAGGCCCCCAGTAGGAGTCAGTCACCAGAGGTTGCCATGACTTCCAGGTGCACACACACGCACATATGAAAAATACCAAAAAAAAAACCCCACTGAACAGTTTATAGACACTTGATGTTTTCTTTTCTCCCCCCCTTTTTTTTTTAAAAAAAATCCCAAACGTTTTAATCTGCTTTCAGGAGAACTGTGACATTACTGGATTTCAACAAAATCCTTATTATATTACCATTTTTCTCAATCGCCTTTTCAATTTTTTATTCATAGATTACAGAATAATACATCTGAAACAACCTTTTAAAAACACAGGGCTCGCCTGTGTTTCATTTAATTAATTTTTGTTGCATTTTTGTCCTGCCCTTTGTCTAAGGAACTCTAGGTGGCATACGTCAGTCTCCCTCCCTCCGTTTTTACCTCGCAGCAGTGGGGTGGGGTGGTCTGAGAGTGACCATGTGAGGTCACACAGCGAGTTTCCATGACAGAGTGGGGAACTGAACCTGGGTCTTCCAGATCAATATTCCAACCACTACACTAAGCTGGCTGTAACTTGTGGGCAGGGCCAGATAAATAAAAATTACAGAGACTGCTGAGAGCCACAAAAGGCAGTTAAGTAAGAGAACAGCCGACCTCCCAAAATGGCTCTGCAGCCACTGACATACAGAGGAAAAAAGGCGGGAAGATGAGATTATTCAAGTTAAACAGAACATCTTTGTGGAAATAGTATTCTTTAGGGAAATCAGGTTGTTGTTAGTTTTCATTGTTATGCTGTGGAGAAAAAGCCTTCCATATTATCTGTTCCTGTTGTAGGAGATGATACAAGGCCCAGAGATCAGAATCAAAACAAAGTTGAACATTCCAAGGAATTGGAATTGCGTTGGACGCTGCGAGGAAGCGGTCAGCAAGATCTCTCCCACCGTGCTGATCAGGAAGAAGCCTCTGAATACCAGCAGGAAAGCTGCCCAGGGGAGGCAGGAGACAAAATCTTTCAGTGTGACTTTCAAGCGTGTGAAAGAATCTCACCAGGAGGGAAACAACATACGTGTTCTTTCTGTGGAAAAAGCTTTAACCAGCGATCAACTCTTACTGTGCACGAAAGGACGCACACAGGAGAGAGACCATATGAATGTCCAGACTGTGAGAGGCGGTTTAGCCATCGCTCAAACCTTTTTGCTCACAAAACAGTCCACACAGGAGGGAGACCATATAAGTGCTCTGACTGTGGGGACAGTTTTAGGCACCGGTCCCACCTCATCGCTCATAAGAGGATTCACACAGGTGAAAGGCCACACAAGTGCTCAGACTGTGGGAAAAGCTTCAACCAGAGATCGGCCCTCACCGTACATGAGCGCACCCACACAGGAGAGAAGCCATATATATGCTCCGACTGTGGGAAAAGCTTTAACCAGAGGTCAATTCTTATTGCGCATGAAAGAACCCACACAGGAGAAAGGCCGTTTAAATGCTCAGACTGCGGGAAGAGCTTCAAACAGCTCTCGGCTCTCACTGCGCATGTCCGAAGCCACACGGGGGAAAGACCATATGTGTGCTTGGACTGTGGGAAGAGCTTTACTCGCAGCTCCCTCCTCATTAAGCACAGGAGGACCCACACAGGAGAAAAACCGTATGAATGCTCAAACTGTGAGAGACGGTTCAGTCAGCGCTCTCAGCTTGTTAGTCATGAGAAAACCCACAAAGGACAGAAATCATATTGAGGCTTGGAATGGGGAGGAAGCTTGAACTACAAGCCAAACTACAAGCACATAGCTGGAGGGGAACCATGAGGAAGAAAAGGCTGATTTCCTTGGCAAGTGTGCCACACAAGATCACAGTATAGGGTAGTACCTCTCTAATGTGCAGCACACATAGACCCTGTGGCTTGGGTTGGTTTTCTTTCTAGTCTACTAAACCACAAAGCAGGCAGTTTCACGAGGCAGGGATGTGGGCCTCACTTGGTGGCACCAGAGCTAGGCCCAAAGGTCCACCTGCTGCTATCCAAACGTGCCACAGCCGTCTTCAGCATAAGCCACTATTAGTTATCTACAGGATTGGTCAGCTGTTACCCTCCAGGAGGGTGTAGTGAGAGAGCTGTCCTTTTTAAATACTGACCAATTGGGGTGAGAAACCAGGGAGAAAAACCACCCTGCAAACCAAATCAGCCATTTTAAGTATCCTTATTGCAGACAGAACAAGAGTGGGAACTAGGGAGGACAATACCTGTTGCTTAATAAGGGGAGGTGGGAACAGGTGGGCTTTCATTTCAGTTGCCAACTTTTCCTGGTTACTTGCACATTCAAGCATTAAACACTTTTTGCACTCTTCAAAACTGTACCTGGTAGTCAGCAGAACACCATGTCTGAAAATGAAGTGTCCGTGCTTAGCTGTTCTGTCCATTAGCCGTAACCAGGCCTATTTCTGTCAGTAGGAGTCATCTCAACCAGTAGCCATCCATGCATCTTGTGACAATGAGTTACTTAAGATGATTATGGAATGGTAAAGAACTGGAACCTGTTTTGCTGCATACCCATTGGCCATCAGGTTGATTTCCAACAGCTGAACAATACGCTTGGTTGAAATAATACAACTCCGTTTGAGAGTATTGAAATAGCTGTGCAGAATTTAAAAAGTGGTTTTGAGGTGACAGCCACTCAGGGCTATGCAGTAAGTCTGTGTAAGCTACTTAAATGTGGAATTAGCCAGAAGCTTGCCATTTTATTGTTTTCTTTGCTTTTATGAAGGGCCTGAACACTCAAGACTTGGCAAATATCACAGGTGGTGCTCATGTGGGCTTTTTTGTGGCATGGGTTGTTAGGAACTTATCTTAACCATATGAACAAGGCTAAATAACACAGAGTTCAAGTGAGCATCTTTTTGTGGTGACCATGAGGGCTGGAAAACAAAGCACCTATTTCTCTTATGACATGAACAGTCTAGGTTGTTGATACCTCACAAGCACCAGCAGAGCTCAGATTTAATTTTTTTAAAGGCACAAAATGAGCAACAGGATATCCCCTGCCAAGGCTACTAGCTTTTCTCATAACTGTTTCTTTGCTGCTTTTCAAATATATTTTAGAAATCGGGTAAGGAGCCATTGTTGAGAATGTCCAGCTGTTCTTTCAGTGATGAATATTTGCCAGTAACAAAGTCTTCAGTGTTGGTGGTATTCACAAATAGCACTATTCATAGCACCCACAAGCAGGGCTCTTTTGGTTAAGCGTCACAAGATTGGAAGGCAGTTTTGGGAACAATTTACTTTTTAAAGAATTCCAGTTCCCACTCCTTTATGCTGTAAATAGAGGCTTGGGCCTAGCTGGGGGGTGGGGATTGCCAATTCTCTCCTCCCTGTACTGCGTATCTCTGACACTCCTGCTTTTTGTGGGGCGTTTCTTGTCCCCTAGGAGTAATATTTCAGAG